TTCAGGAATAACATGGTGCTTCAGAAAATAGTTTCAAAGTCAATCTTCTCATTCTGGCTAAATCGAGATCCCACGTCTAGGATGGCTGGTGAAATTCTCTTTGGAGGCATGGATTGGACTCATTTCAGGGGTCTACATACATATGTCCCAGTTTCTAAAAATGGTTATTGGGAGGTAATTAACCTCAGTTCAGTTATTACTGTTCATGTTTTACAGAACTTCATTTGTATCGTGATATCGTCTACTTTGTATCTGAACAAACTGACCTTTTCCGAACGTTCCAGATTGAGATAGGGGATCTTTTTATAGGAAACAATTCAACAGGTAATGTCACTTACAGTTTACATATAATGCATCTTATACATCTCTATTGTAAATTTTCTTCTTTTCGCTCGCAGGCTTTTGTAAGGATGGCTGTTCAGCTATTGTGGATACTGGAACAGCTTTTATTGCTGGTCCAACAGTATGTATTTAGACCACTCTTGATTATAGTTCTTGTTTTCAAGAATCTGTTTCTGCTCAACCGTCGCCATATAACCTCATTTCAGACCATTTTAACTCAAATAAATCATGCTATTGGAGCGGAAGGAGTTGTTAGTTCGCATTGCAAAACTATTGTCCATGATTATGGCAGAACGCTTTGGGAACGATTGCTTTCAGGGGTAAGTTCTTTCATCAATTTGCAATATGGTATATCAGGTGTCTCTTCTTTTGATCTCATCCGTCTTCTCTATTGCAGTTACATCCTGATAATGTTTGCCATGGTATCTGTTCGAATAATGAGACATTAGGTGTAAGGTTAGAATTTTCAGATTCTTTTCTTTCATTTCGACTGATGTCTGATCTAAAACATTAAATCAAATTATGTTTCAGTCATGAACCCCAAATGAGAATGCGAAATTCAAAGTCCCAGCGGCTAGAAAAGGATATTTTATGCAATGTTTGTGAGATGGTAGCATTTTGGATACAAGTAGAGATTAGAAAAGAGAGATCAAAAGATTTGGCATTTCAATATGTTAATCAGGTAAGGTTTTTCTTTAGTAGTGTGGCAATTTCTGTTATTTTCGAGTTGTTTTTAGTTAGCTGATGTTTTCACTAATACATCTAATTTGTGATGAAGCTATGTGAGAAGCTACCAAATCCTGGTGGGAGATCATATATCAATTGTGATGTCTTTTCCCTGCCACATATAACATTTACCATTGGGAACAAGTCTTTCCCCCTTTCTCCCGATCAGGTTTTTTTCGTTATCTGTATCTGTTCCTTCCTCTTCGAGATTTTTTTAACAACGTAAGGCAGTTAAATGCATACTCATGTTCTATTTCTCTTTAACGTATGATGTTGTGTTAGTTTTAAGATGTATCAGAAGTTGTGAAGATGGCATAATTAGGTGATAGTAGGCAACTAGACATATAAAGATGATACTTAGCTCAATCTACTTGTCACCAAAAAGAGGAAAAAGATATCTGAGGTGCATGAAGCATCTCGTGTTCATGCAGGGTCAGGGGAAGGGCCATAGCCCAAAGCAGTGTGCCTGACGCAAACATAAATGGCTGAATCTATGACTCGAACCCCGTGACTTATAGGCCACATGGAGACAATTTTATCGTTGCTCCAAGGCTCCCGTTCTGATTGATTCTGCAGATGTTAAAAGAACAAAAACAATACCAAATTCAACTGCAGTAATAAGTTTCTAACTCAACATTCTGCTTCTTTTTATCTTCCTGTCGACGGATAATAGTTGATAAATGATGTCCCTTTTAAAGGATTCAAGAATGAGATTTTGGAGAAAGCTGGAAATAGTTATCAATTGCTCCTAAGGTCCAAATTTGTCATACTGTTTCAAGTGCTTCTCTTCGCGCTAAAACTTGATTCAACAACTTGAACTAATTATCTATAGTATCAGATTTTTAGGCCGTGTGTTAACATATAGTGGTTTTGAGGGTCATCAATTACTTCTTCATAGACTATTATGAGTTCGAGACAGTCTGCTTCGATAAAATTGTTTCACTAAACGGATTCTTTTATATATATTGATCTAATCGCAACTTTGAATATGGAATTATTTCTTTGTTATCTGAGTGAGATATGACACGCCAACAAGGGATTGATGCTAAAACACAATAAAGCCAACCAAATGACTAACTTGATACTCACTTTTTTCATTTCACTTACTATTTCTTCTGTGAATTTCTATAACAGTATGTTATCAGAGTTGATGATCACCAAGGTGTTCATTGTCTCAGTGGATTTACAGCTTTAAATGTGCATCCGCAACGTCCCCTCTGGTAAGATCATTGTTAGTTTTTCACAAGTTAGTATCTGCTTTCCTTAATCCGAGGGTCTATTGGAAACAACTTATCTACCTCTCAAGGTAGGGGAGTAAGGTCTGCGTACACTCTGTCCTCTCCAGACCTCACTCGTGGATTGTCATATCGCTCGACAAATAACATCAATATGTATGACTACTTCTGCAGGGTTCTTGGAGATGCATTCTTGAGAGCATATCACACAGTTTTCGATTTTGACAATTTACAAATTGGATTTGCAGAAAGTGCTTAGATTGGTTTCAAGAGATGTGAGAAAATAACTCAGAATTTGTTTGGTTTTGCAAATTGTTTTTTTGTTTTCTTTTGAGGGCAGATGAAAATCTAGTGTTGTGAATAAAACTGCTACTCTATATTTTTACCCTTTCCCTTTTCTAACCCCCGCATATAGCGGGAGCTTAGTGCACTGGGTTGTCGTTATTCTTCAGTCATTTGTTTAATTTTCTTTCTAATTCATGTCCTTCATGGCGATGAACACAGGACAATGAAAATTTGTTTTGATAATATATAATTCAGATGTCACCATTTTTTTTTTATGGAAGTGGTCGAAATTTTTCTTCACAAACGGTTTAGTGCATCAAGCTGACTTTTATTTACTCTTTGGCATGACCAAGACAATAGCTTGTAACAATGTCGTGATTGGTAATATTTTCCGTCTTTTTTTCGTTATCATGTATTAAATTATTAATTTGAAATTTTAAAATAAATACAGATAACTTTTAAAATATTTATCAAACTTTATATCGTTTGATTTTTTATTTTTTATTTTAAAAAAAGAATTATCACTAACTTAAAAGGGACGGAGGGAGTATATGCCCTCAAAACTTTGTAATAAGTCACATCTCACACGATAAATATCAAACACAAGATTTTACCTATATTTTTAAAATATGACTAGGGAGGACATGATAGGATAGATACCAAATATAATTTTTTTAAATATCTTATTTTTGGTAATATACTATATTTGGTGTTGTACTCGTATCTGATATAGATTTTAAGTTTTCTCATATTTGATATGGTATTTGTTTTCTATAAATAAAATACTAAAAATATCATTCTATGGTATATATTTACATATATAATTTATACATATTATTATAGTATTAATAACAAATATATGCATTACTAGTTGATTGAATGTCTTTTTGCTTAACTGATTAGCAAACGAAGTTGCTTATACTTTTTTTTAATATATGTTTTTACATGTGCGTAAAAGCTTAATATGACATAATTGAGATGACTTTTTTAAAGCTGAAATTATAAGTCTATTATAAAAATATATGTACGTCGAGTTGAATAAATTATGATTATCATATCGCAACGTATAATGTCGTTGAAGTTAAAATTACTGAACCTTAACTTAATACGATAAAGGAATAATATTTTTATAAATTGAAAAATCACTATTTAGCGAATGAATTCAAATACACCACATCATACCATGGCGAAACCCACCTTGGCCTACAATGGCGAATCCACCTTGGCCAAAGGGTGTCAAGCGAGACCCCTTCACCGGAAAGTTACATTATATATAGATATCAAATTTTGTTTTAATGAGTTTAAAAGAAATTTCTGAATTATTAAAAGATCTCATAGAAAGTAATAAACAATTATCATTACGTTGATATTGATAGAGACTATTTATCGATAAAAGAGAAGAAAAGTATACACGCAAACTTTTTATTACATACTATATAATTTTACAGACATACTATATGCACTTATTCTTAACTCAAACATTAAGAAGAATTACTTAGTACGTATAGGGAATCAAAATTTTTAAATATATCATTATATATATATGTGTGTGTGTGTTAACACTACTAAGCTCATATTGATTTTTTTCTTACCATAACCATTGACACCCCTTTATGAAAATTCTGGGTCACCACTAATTATCCACGCCGAAAATGTGTTCATAATAATAAATCGAGGTTAAAAAAGAACTACATAATTAGACAAACACACTAAATCTCATTATACTTTGAAATAATTACACAACATTTCACTCATCCTCCCCCGCTTTCTTTCACTCTCGCTCTCCTCTCTTTCTCTCCTCTCTTCCACTTTCTCTTTTTTTGCTCACTGGTGATGACATGTATAGATAACACATGTATTAAAGTATATCTCAATGTATATTTTAATATCAAATACATATAATTGTGAAGTTTGGATACATTATAAAATACAAAAAATATTATGAAACTTAAAAACAAAAGAGGTGTTGGCGGACGAGAGATAGAGGGAGAAGCAAACGATAGAGGACGTGAGATATATTCGTTTAATATAAAAAAGAAATAACATATATAATTATCAAAACTATCAATAAGTCGATTAATTCGTATTTATACTGTGTGCTTTACGAAAGTTGCTCGAATACAAATAAGGATAATTTAATTAATTACCACTAAATAGTACTCCCTCCGTTCATTATTATTTGTCATAATTTCTATTTTCAAAGTCAAACTATAATAAACTTTGAAAACAAAATATGACAAATAAAAATGAACGGACGGAGTAATACAATAATATTTTTGCAAGGAATGTTGCACAAGACATACGATCCAATATCGAGACTAGAGGTAACAGCAAATCCAGCAAAAACGACGTCGCTCTGCATGGTAGAGATTAGAGAAAAACTAGGCACAACGCGTCACCTACCCCATCCCCACCCCCACCCACCCACCCTATCTCTCTTACAAAATCTGCCCCAAAATCTCCGAAAACGAATTTTTACAATTTCTCACTGAAGTAAAGAAGCTGAAACTCATCATCGGCGCCGGAGATGGGAACGAGAACCGGAGACGGAATCAGACGGTCAAAGGTCTTTGCTTTGGTAGCGATTTTGCTATTCAGTTTCGTGAACGACATATCGGCGTTATCGGTAACAGTGAACGACGAGGAATGCGTATACGAATACGTTCTCTATGAGAACGACACGATTTCTGGAAACTTTGTTGTTGTCGATCATGACATCTTCTGGAGCTCAGATCACCCAGGCATCGATTTCACTGTATGTAAAGTTTTTCTTCCATGCTTGATTATGCAATTTTTCAGTATCGATTAACGCATTACCTGTGAGCAATTTCGTCGATCCACTTTTTGAATTTGCTTTAGAGGTGCGCTTTTTTTCTTGTCTCTCTTTATGATTTTGCTCTGTAGAATTTTGTATAGATTTGATGGATAACAATGATAAGCACTATTGAATGGATAATTCTTCACGGAAAACGTTTATACTTTATGCTGTACCTCTTGATATTGTTTGTCTAAAATGAATTGCTCTTAAAATTCAGACACAGTGTAAAGGTTTCCTCCTCATGTAAATTAAAGGTAAAAAACTTATTAATTGAACATCCGAATTCAGCATTCAGGTGTTGAGTTTTCTTGAATTCTCAAATCATATAGGAGGGATTAGGATTTACTCTAAAGGAAGTAAAATTTCATATTTCCGCCTTCTTAGAGTTCGTTTGGATTGACTTTTGGCTTATTTTCATTATTTTGGCTTAAACTTAGGTGCTTAAAAGCACTTTTTTAGTTTACCCAAACACTACGTAAGTGCTTAAAAGATATTTTATCTCAAATGCATTTAAGTAAGCCAATCTAAATAGGCTCTAGTTTGATGCTATAAAATCCTTGAGATGCCCTGAATTGTGTGCTTCAATGACTGGATCTTTTGCTATGTACTGTCATCACTTGTTTTTTTTTAGAAATTAGCCACTCTTCTGCTGCTCATTATTTACACTTGCTAATCATCCCACAGTACAAGAAAATGCTTTTCAACTATTTCAACCTAAGTTGTGCGTACTCTTCACTTTCGATGCTGCAACCATGTCGGATACTCCAAAAATATACTACTTTTGGAGAATCCGACAAGCACTTATTGACAATTTTTGAAGAATCCAAGCAACATAGATTTTAACTTAGACGATATAGTGAAAATTCAGTCAATTAACCATGCCTCAATTCCAATTCCACAGAAGATTGGCTATATGATCTTGTATATGTTTTCACTTGGTTGATGTTGCTCCAATTCTAATTGAGTTTCCTCTTTAAGACAAATAATGAAAAATACTGAGGAAATTGTTTTCCCTCATTAAAGTTTCATGGTTTCCAAATTTCTCCACTCATAGCTATGTTTTTAACTCCGACTAGCTTGATTGCACTTTTGGCTGACCAATGCGATGCCTGATTACGGGTCCTATATGTTCTTAACTCCGACTCGCTTGATTGCACTTTTGGCTTACCATGGGATGCCTGATTATGAGTCCTAAATTTATCATAGAGCTATCTTGTTTGGTACCAGAAGTAATACAAAAATAAGCTTCAGAGAATTAGCCAAGTGCTTGAATTAGCTCTTTCAATCTGTATATAATCTTTTCTGAATGAACCAGCCATTGCCTTCTGACTCTATCAAGTAACAGAATTGACTCTCCTGCCCTAGCTGGTGTTGACATAACCCTTTGTATTTCTCATCTTACATGTATCATATATACATTGGAGCTACCATTGCTGAACCTTTATTGAGCCATTTTACTCCACGGACTTGGTTTTGCTCAACTCGGGGTTTGAGTGGTCCATGTAGTTTCCTTGTTTAATTTCACCAACAGCTTGCTACAGAGCACCATGCTCCTCTGTCATCTTCAATGGCTGAACCTCATTGGACTTGGAGACTTCTTATTCTCTATCATAAGAGTTAACTTCTTTTGATCCGGTGCTTCCTGATTATTGTCATAATAAGTAACCGCATTCATAAACATAAAATCTCTGTTTCACATTCCACAGATCGGCATTCATAACTTCTGAAATTATCCTCCAATTATACAACCCTTGGATCTGTCATCTTCAATGTATGAACCTCATTGGACTTGGAGACTTCTTATTCTCTATTATAAGAGTTAACTTCTTTTGATCCGGTGCTTCCTGATTATTGTCATAATAAGTAACCGCATTAATAAACATAAAATCTCTGTTTCGCATACGACAGATCGGCCTTCATAACTTCTGAAACTATCCTCCAATTATACAACCCTTGGATCCTTCTACATGACCTTTGTTTCGTAATGAGAAATCTTATTCATAAACCTCACATCTCTGTTTCAAAAACCACAGGCCGCCACTCATAACTTCTGAAACTATCATTCAATTATACAACCCTTTGAATCCTTCTACCTGACCTTTATTTTCATAATGAGAAAGTTTATTCATAAACCTAAATCTCTGTTTCATAAAGCACAGGCTGCCATCATAAGTTCTGAAACTATCCTCCAATTATACAGCCCTTGCATTCTTCTACCTGACTTTCCCCCCCTCTTTTCTCTTTCATCCATTTTAACATGCTTTAATAACCATTAGCTCCTCTCTTTGCAAACTCACGTCTAGTCCCCCATTCCACTCGATCAGCCCTATCACTGAAGCAGTATTGTCAAAGGCTTGCTTAAGGCACACTTAAGCTTGAAGCAAGGTGCAACATACACTATGTGCCTCCTCTCTCTTAGGTGGAGCATCAGTGCCAGTTTCAAGCCACTAAGATGTGCGCCTTATCCTGATGGAATAAATGTGGAAGTGTGTCAGTAAACAATAAATGTTCATTTATGATTTTTTTTTCATTTTTATGTAATTACTGTCTGGGTTTTAAGTTATATTCTTGAGCTACATATTTAATTTTTATATTTTCCTTCATTTGTGCCCCTGAGTAAAGTATAAGATAGATACTCCATCACCAGAAATTTTGGTCTCTGTTTGGTTCTGATGATGATGAGTCACAGTAATGCAGCACATCTTAATGTCAAAAACTTTTTATTGTACAATAAACAGACCGCTTCCACCTATTTGCCATGTCCGCTATTGACATGACTACTAATGGGAGTTTATTGAGTAAAGAAGACGCAACTCATTGTTAGTGTGTTCTCATTTGCTTATTTCTGTCTCTGCAACCTCTTAATAAAAAATAAATGTTGAAGCTTTCTTATCAAGTCTTGTTACTCCCATGCAGGTGACAGCACCTGGAGAAAATGTTGTACACACAATGAAGGGAACATCTGGGAATAAATTTGAGTTCAAGGCCCCTCGTAGTGGGATGTACAAGTTCTGTTTTAAGAATCCTTATTCAACACCAGAAACCGTTTCTTTCTACATACATATTGGACACATTCCCAATGAGCATGACCTTGCCAAAGATGGTTAGTCTTATTTGCTGTATTATTGTTTCATCAATTAATATTTTAGAAATATAAATTTTTGCTTTTCACATAATTTTGGTTCCATGATTAAGATGACATATATTCCTTATATATACTTGTAGCTGCGGAGGCTGGTATGCATTATGTTAGTTGTCTGATATGTTCGTATATGTATTCGTAAGATAGTGGGATATTATGCATCATGTTTCTTGACTGATAGGTTCTTTATTTATTGCTAGGATTAGCTGCAGATTATTATGTTTCCTGCTCATCCCTTCTCTTTTTTCATTTTACATTTTCTAACCTTTGCGCAGAACATTTGGACCCCATTAATGTCAAAATTGCTGAACTAAGAGAGGCATTGGAATCAGTTACTTCAGAGCAGAAGTACCTAAGAGCACGTGATGCCCGTCATCGTCATAGTAAGACTCCATTCTTGTCCCTTAATAAGAATCATATGTTCTCTTTTTAGAAATGGATATTACTGAAATGGTTTTCCTTTCTCCTACTATGCTGAACATCATTTATGCGGTTAACTCTGGCATTGAGACCAACTAGCTTATAAAACCTGGATTGGTGGATTTACTGTCAGTAGTAGACAACCCTCTATTTACATTTGAACCAACAAATGTTAATTTTGAAGATGGTTGCTGCTTCCATTGATGGGTACTCAATGCATCTGCTTTCTTCTGAACCTTACAAATGTTTTCGGGGCTATATTCACTTCCTCGTTACAATCTCTCTGTTTACATTTTAGTCATTGTCCGTGAGGTACCGAATCTTGAAAAAATAGAGTTGTTCACTCCTCATGCCATCTACTGCTTATGTGATGTGTGTTTATCTGGTGCAGCTAACGAGAGCACGCGGAATCGTGTTATATTTTACACAATTGGAGAGTATATGCTGCTTATATTGGCTAGCGGACTTCAGGTTGTGTATATTAGACGTCTGTTCAGCAAGTCAGTTGGCTATAACCGGGTTTGACAAATTCAGGAACCAGCTACTGTTTTTTTTTGGAACTTAGAGTTATTTTGATTAGCAGTTGAAATTTAGAAAAAAAACATATACTTCTGTAGCATGTGATTCTAAATTATTTGAAAAGGATTTTCTCCATTCTCAAAAGCTGGTTTAATTTTCAGAGATTGATGCATGAAATTTATTATTTGACGAATGGATTGTTTTCTGTTACGTGCTCCACTTTTTTATTTTTGACATAAATCCTATTTACAAATAATCAAATATTATTGAGAAATCAATTTCAAAGTATTTATCACATGAGCTAATGAATTATTTAATGGATAGGAGTGGAAGATTGTGTATTTTTTTGGCAACTTTTGTAACAAACATAAAATTTGTATTTGTATACTATAGCAAAGTTGCATAATTGCACTCCATAACAAAATATATATGTATAAATAGCTATATATATATATATATATATATATATATATATATATAT